CTACTGGCCGCAGTAGCCGTATCATGGGGGAGACTTTGTCCACGGACCATGTCATCGTCTGCATTCGCATCGGAAGTGACAACGCCTAGCGATCCGCTGGGAGTGTCGTCATCGTCGCCACTGACACTTGTGTCAACGGGTCCAGCGCTATCACTGCTTGTGACATCAACTCCAACGAGACCGCCATCAACATCAGTAGTAAGTGGAGGCGCGTTTTGGTTGTCCCGATTAGACGTTGCAGGATCTGACACAACCAAAGATGCAGCATCATCCAATGCTTCTGTGTCAGTCACGGAGCTGTCAGAACGCTCGCTGCTGGCATTTGTCGACGCTTGGTTGAGTTGCAAGCGACGAGCAGCACCACCTCGTCTTGCAGGAGGGCGTGAGCGCCGAGCGTTTGTCACGAACCGCCTCGGCGATGGTGTAAGTCCCGGACACAGAACGCCAGCGGCAGTGCACGCATCGATGATGTGGGGGCATACACCGTGTTTCCAGCAGTAGCAACAATCACACTGCAGTCGGCCGGGAACCACGACCCAGCCATCGGATGGCATGTCCTGCATCTGCATGCGCCGAGCATTAACCGAACCGATCGATTGATCATACTGCTTGGGAACGTTGGCATTCACTGGCAGCGGCTGCTGCTTCACAGCAAAACGTACTTCGTTCTGCGAGCGACCTGTTGGGAGCTGCGTCGCTGAGATGCACCGCCGTTCCACCAGAGTCTTGTACAGCTTGTGCAGTCGATCCGAAACCTGCGGTGTGTTGCTGAAGACGTGTCCTTCACTGACGAAAGAAAGAAAAGCTCGCTCCATGGACTCCATCATCTCGAACGGGGTCGCCCGAGGGTTGTCACAGTTGATTTTCAGCGTCCTGTGGTACTGCTCAAGGGGATTGTTCGTCGTGGCACACCCTGTTGGCGTGTGGAAGACCTGCCAATTCCCGAACTCAGCGCTGCTGACCCATATCGTCTTAATATGATGCCCGAGTGCGTGTTCCGCCGAGTTGAAAGGCAGCTGCTCCCATTTATCCAGTACGGACTGTTTGCTCGCTTCATATTCGCCCTCGGCTGCATAGTGCAAGTCGTACATGTCCACAAAGAAGTCCTTGGTTTGTGCTGGCTCGACACCTTGGCCTTGGCTTTCTTGAACACGTTTTGGGTCACGTGGAACCAGCACATGAGTATTTTTGTGCTGGATATCTGGGCCAGGATAGCGTTGCGCTGGGCACCGTCGGCGTCCGTCATCACAAACTCGGGGGCAAAATCAATGTTAAACTGTTCGAAGAAGACCCTCATCAACTGTTTAAGGCATCAGGAAATGTCCTCTTGGCGTCGACGCGAGATGCTAAAATACGCCAACGGGAAAAAGTGTCCACCCTTATCCGAGTACCCGATAACCATCGCTGGGAAGCACTGCTTCACGATTTTGAAAGTTGTGTCGACGTGAAGCATCGTCGTTGCGTCAGGAGACAGTTGAACGTTGACGTAGTCTCGAAGAAGCTTGTGGCAGGTAATGCCAACTCGAAACGGGGTCGCTTCACTCCCGTTCCCAACCGAAGCAACGTGCCTGCCGCCCCTCACGACGGAATCGCACAAGATCACTGTGCCTGTCGGGTTTTCAGCATCCATCCCAACCTCATCATACAAGCGTTGGTAGCACATCTCGAGAACACGCGCCATTTCATCGGCGGGGTTGCTTCTCTTCCACCAACGCACGAAGTTGTCCACTTTGTGCCGGGGTGGTGCTGGTCCACGCATCTCGCCACGCTTCACCTTGCTGACAATGACGCTGAACAGGCGGTAGGCGATGGTTGTTGGAACGTTGGTAAACTGGCTCACGATGTAAGCCTTCATCTCCTCTGTTAGTGTCGGTCGCTCTGGGGTCGGCACAACGGGATCTGCCATTATATGCTCCCCTTGCTGGAACACAACGGCGAGGTTGCTGCTCTGGCATGAGTTCACTTTGTAGCGGCACCAACACACGGCTGCGTTAGTAATATCGCCAACCGTCTCGCTGGCGGCCTCGCCAGCCGCCTGGCTAGCAGCCTTCGTACAGCGCTGCGACCGACACTCTGTCAGCACCGAGCGCATGCTGTGTGGGGTTAGCGCTAGTTGGGACTCCTCAGCTCTGTCGTGCTTCAGCGAGCAGGAAACGAGATCGTTCTTCCTGCGCATGTAGTGCGGCAACGACGCAAGGTACGTGTCTCGGGCTGCATCGCCCTCGTAGGATCGCCAGAGCTCCGTCCATGTGTAGTCGTGTTCCTCTTCGCCACCGCTAGCTGCGTCGCGGTTGGGCTGCTCCATCGCCTTAGTCGGTCGCCGTGCAACACGAAGTGCCGGGAAGCACAATGACTGTATCTCAGGATCCACCACCACTTGCGTAGGAGACGGCAGATTCTGAAATGACGAACGGCGGTGAGTGGGCACAGCGAGGTGCGGCATAGACGCTAAGCGAGGAAACCTCTTGACGTGTGAAGCCAATTGAAAGGCTGGTGACAGGTTGGTAATGGATGCAGACTCGTTGGTGAAGTGACACCGAGCTATGGTGAAGCAACACAGATCCTTGGTTAGTGTGTGGTGCGGATCTCTTGGTGAAACGTGCGACCGGCTTGGTGTTACCACCTGGTACTCTTCGGTAAGGAGAAGAGCTTTGTCGTTATGCCGCTGTTTCGATTGCTGCGTATTTTCAA